TGAAGAAAAAAGGACTTTAAGGTGCAAGATCGAGTTTTAGTTTTTGTTTTTCAACATCTTTGCAGGTGAGATACCGGGCTAGAGACGGCAGTATGGAATTCCGATAGGCCGAAGCGCGGCAAGGGATGTGGCGGAAGCATCGACGCATGGGGCGTAAGGATTTCGCAGCCCTTAACTCATTATGAAGGGGATGGACGGTTTCATTCAGAATTCGGTCAGCGAATTGCTCCACAGTACTGGAGTGTCGCTGCACGATGATATCAACTAAAATATGATAGGAAACACCAGCAGCAGAGGCGAGCATTCGAATGACACGTTTAAAAATAATTAGATGTTTTTTAAGTAAAGCTGGAAAAATAACTGGAGAACAATAAAGAATGAGTGGAAGAATACAGCCATCTATGAATCGCCAGATTAAGGACTGGGGTGTGCGATATGAACGTAGACGGCGAATGTAATAAATAAGTTTTTGAATTTTTGTTAAAAGGGTTTCCATATGAAGAGAGAAAGAGAGATTTGAGGATAAAGTAACACCTAGGTACCGGAAAGAAGATACCTCATTGGGAAGAATATCCAAAGGTTCAGGAATGGGAGAGGGTCGCAATCGAAACACACACTGTACTGATTTCTGATTGTTGAGTAGGAGTCTATTATTCGAAGACCTTGCGGAGACGTGATCTAAGCCATCATTTAAAGACTGCAAATGAGTCAGGTTTTTGAGTGGGTGGCCTACGACCATGTCATCGGCATACTTAACATACAGGCAGTCGTTTGGCGATCTCAAATCATCAGTATGTAGGGAGAAAAGATGAGGGGATAAGATGGAACCTTGTAGAACTCCACAATTATTTGGAAGAATAGCAGATTTTCTCTTTCCCGACTGGACAAACTGAATGCGGGAGGAAAAATAATCTCTAAGCCAAGAGACAACCCAGCTCGGATCGTCACGCAGCTGCTTTGGTCAGGAGGAGTTGGCGCGGAATAGTGTTGAAGGCGGATGAGTAGTCGAGAAAAGCACATGCATATGCACGGCATCCCTTGTCTAGGTCTCTCAAAGCTGAATGAACAACTAAAGCAACAGCATCCAAGGTGCTACGCTTTGCCTTGTATGCAAATTGTAGAGGATCAGAAAAATTGACGGAGGAGTACTTAAGGGAATCTAATGCAACTCGTTCAGTAAGTTTCAGGAGTGCAGAAGAGCAGGCAATAGGACGGAAAGATTTAGGAGCAAAAGTTAAAGATTTTTTAGGGATTGGAGTAATTCTTACTGTAAGCCAGGCGTCAGGAATCTTGGACTCTGTGAAGGATAGATTAATAAGGTGGGTCAAGACGGGAGCTATCTGCGAACAGCAAGACTTAAGGAGAAAAGGAGAGACACCGTCCGGCCCAGCCGCCGTTGACCCGCGAATCTTTTTGAGATGTTGTTCCACTGTTGTCACAGTCACAGGAGTAAAGTCACATGATGGTAGGTAAATTTCGTTTGGGCGAGAAGGGGAGTCGTTAGAAGTATAGATAAAATTCCGATTTAAAGAGTTTAAATCTACGTCAATTGGTTCAAGTATATTACGTTGACCAGTGAGACGCTTGCGATTCCTCCACAGTTCAGCAGAAGGAGAGGACGGGGTGGATGAAGTAGAAAAAAGTTGACTAACGAATAAGCCGTTAAGTCTGGAAACTTCGTTCTTTATTAAAACATTGATATCCTTCACCTTGTCACGCTGACCTAGTTTGTAGAAGGCTTCTTTGCGACGTCTCAAGTGTTTAAGGTATGGTGAGGAGATTCTGTCGGGCCTGACCATAACAGTTTCACGGGGACAACAAATATCAAAAATGTGATTCAAAAATAGCGTAAGATAATTAGAGCATAATTCAGCATTTTGTAGTGCTAGAAAAGTTGGGATGGTACTAGTAATTGAACTCTGCAGTAAGTGGATCTTATCTACGGATGTGTCTCGAACAGTAATTTTCCTCTCGGGTTTTGTAAGCAGTTGACGCTTAGAGGTGGAATATACTTTTGGAAGTCCTAGTAGCACTGAGTGATCAGACCCGGAGGGTGGAGCTCTATTTTTAATACAAAAAAGCTTTGGGTCATTGGTCAAGATGTGATCAAGAGGGGCATCAGCCCGTGTATTGAATGTAACAAGGTCATCAAAACCCAGAAGGGTAATGGGCCGGAAACTCGCACGGTTAAAATCACCGCACAAAAGAATAAGATGGTCTGAGGATAATGAAGCAAGTTTTTGTGTGAGGAAGTCAAAAAACGGCCCAGAGAGCCTTCGTTTGTGGAAGGGGGATGTAAATACTGACAACTATAATACCCTTAAAGCTATTTAACAAATTGGGCTTACAGATAACAGCAATTACATCAATTAAATCACCAGAATATGAAAACAGGGGCTTACAATTTTTACTCCAGTCCTGATTGACAAAAGTGGCCACTCCTCCACGTCTACTGCCTGTTGGAGATGCTCTATCATTTCGAAAACAACAAAATGTCGAAGGAGTGATAAGTTCCGAGTCAATATGGCTATTCAATCACGTCTCTTGAAGGCAAATTACTTCTGTTTTGCCATGTTCTTTGGTTGACAGAAGTAATTCCAAATCATGGGCTTTGTTAAATATCGCTCGACAGTTAGTCGAAAGAAAACCCAGGATTGACAGCTTGTTTTTAGGCTGGCGTTTAAGCGCAACTTGCCATCCACAGCGATGTTGCTTTCGAAATATTGGCCTCCGCTGATACGAGCGTGGGAAGGCCAGCGAGGAAGGACGAGAAACAGGACAAGCTGTCAGAGTGTAACTGCTGCTGGCACGGTGAGTTCGTTGCGTTTGGGAGCGTGAGAACGCCAGCGCAGGACAATCGCAGAAACGACAAATTGGCCGCAAAGTGCAACCACTAGAGTCATGATCAGGAGGCGGAAAAATCGATGCAGAAATTTCGCAGGGTTTACGCTCCTTTAAAAAGGTGCTAGCGTACTGTAAAGACAACCTCATAGGAATCGATCAATTAAAACAAAGGAATAAGACTGGGGTATGCAATTAATAAATATTCATGTGACTGGAGGGAAAAAACAAAAAATGGCGGCTCAATTTCAAATGCCCGTCTCGTAGTCTGGTCGCATCTCCTTTGCACCATCCTCGGATGGACTCGGTTCAATGTAACCGACCGCATCTGGGTTCCTATCGCCTCGAGAATTATTTTCAATTTCGCCACTTATTTGCCTTATTCAAGGCCACATACAGGCCAGTCCTGACAGACCCGCCTACTTACCCCTTTATGAAATCCGTTATACAATGCCATATACAGCTGACATTTACCGCCACATGCAGGCAAGTCCTGCCCGCATTTTTCTGTTTCTATTTTTCACGAGTGGCGTACTTCAAGGCACGGTTCTGGGTCCGCTACTCTTCCTTCTGTACATCAATGATATTTCGACTGAACTCGGAAATTCGCAAACTTTTACTTATGCCGATGACCTCAACTGTGTTTACTCATACTCTAAGGACACCGAAAATGTTTGTGTTGAAAAAGTAAATGCCGATTTACTACGCTTAAGCAGATGGGGTTCGACATGGCAGATGGAGTTTTCATCATCCAAGTGTAGTTTCATGTCTTTTGGTCCTACCAAACTTCCTGGTCCCATAATTTTTCAGAATAACCCACTCTCAGAATG